TCTCTTGTCTGAGTCCTTGTCTGCGAAGCCTGACTCTTGTCTCTCTGCGCTCCAGGTAGAGCAAGCGGATGACCCTGCCAGGCCCACAGGGAGCTCGCCGACTGGCCCTCCAGAATTGGCCTATCCCGTTTACACGCAGGACGACGTGACCAAGCACAGGACGCTGGAGGACGGCGTGTGGGTGACCTACAATGGGAGCGTTTACGACATCACCGACTTTGTGGCGGTGCACCCAGGGGGCGACAAGATCATGCTGGCTGCGGGGGGCGCCCTAGAGCCCTTCTGGGCCCTGTATGCCGTCCACAATCAGGAGCACGTGCTGGAGATCCTGGCAGAGTACAAGGTGGGGGAGCTGTGTCCTGGAGACTGTAAGGAGGAAGGGGCGACTTCTGCGGATCCCTACTCCAGCGATCCTCCCAGGCACCCGGCCTTGAGGGTCAACAGCCAGAAGCCGTTCAACGCTGAACCGCCCTCGGAGATCCTCTCCGAGAACTTCATCACCCCCTCGGCCTTCTTCTTCAAGCGGAACCACCTCCCGGTGCCCCGGGTCGACCCCCACGCCTACCGCCTGGAGATCCACGGCCTGCCGCGGGGCCCGGTCTGTCTGTCCCTGGAGGAGATCAAGACCAAGTTCCCGAAGCACACCGTGACCGCCACGCTGCAGTGCGCGGGCAACCGCCGCTCCGACATGAACCGGGTGAAGCAGGTGAAGGGTCTGAACTGGGGCATCAGCGCCATCAGTAATGCCACATGGGGGGGTGCGCGGCTCAGGGACGTCCTGGTGTACGCGGGTTACCTCCCCGGGTCCAGCGCTCGGCACGTGCAGTTCGAAGGTCTGGATGTGGACCCCACAGGGACCCCTTACGGGGCGTCCATCCTGTTGGGCAAGGCGGTCAGCGAGGAGGGCGATGTCCTCTTGGCCTACGAGATGAACGGGGAGGACCTGCCCGCCGATCACGGGTACCCGCTGCGCGTGGTAGTGCCAGGAGTGGTCGGGGCGCGCAACGTGAAGTGGCTGGGCAAAATCGTGGTGAGCGAGGAGGAGAGCCAGAGCCACTGGCAGCAGAACGACTACAAGGGCTTCTCTCCTGGGACCGACTGGGACACGGTGGACTTCAAGACGGCCCCAGCCATCCAGGAGCTGCCCGTGCAGTCGGCCATCACCGTGCCCCAGGAGGGCGTCGTCCTGGGGGCAGGCCAGGGCACTGTGACCGTGCAGGGCTACGCCTGGAGCGGCGGCGGGAGGGAGGTGGTGCGGGTGGACGTCTCTCTGGACGGCGGAAGGACGTGGAACGTGGCCAGGCTGCAGCACGGAGAGGAGGGAGGAGCCGCGCCCGCGCCGCCTAACCGCTCCTGGGCCTGGACACTGTGGGAGCTGAGAGCCCCGCTGCCCCCGGGCGCCCGGGAGCTGGAGATCGTGTGCAAAGCAGTGGACAGCAGCTACAACGTGCAGCCGGACACGGTGGCGCCCATCTGGAACCTCCGGGGAGTCCTAAGCAACGCTTGGCACCGGGTCCGGGTCAGGGTGAGTGAGGACCAGAGCAGGACAGACTAGCCCCGCAATAACACCCAGCCTTGTATCCTCAGGACAGAACACCAGCTCATGAACCCGTCCCAGAGCGCTCTCTGTAAGAATGGGCCAACGAACTGACCCAGAACCCATCCCAGAGCACTCTCTGTAAGAACTGGCCAACGAACTGACCCAGAATCCATCCCAGAGCACTCTCTGTGAGAACGGGTCCATATCCTGACCCAGAATCCATCCCAGAGCGCTCTCTGTGAGAACGGGTCCACATCCTGACCCTGAACCTGTCCCAGAGCATTCTCTGTGAGAACGGGCCGTCAGCCTGGCCCAGAACCAATCCCAGAGTGCTCTCTGTTAGAATGGGTCCACATCCTGACCCAGAACCCGTCCCATAGCGCTCTCTGTGAGAATGGGCCGACAGCCTGACCCTGAACCCGTCCCAGAGCGCTCTCTGTGAGAACGGGCCTACAGCCTGACCCAGAACCCGTCCCAGAGCGCTCTCTGT